TCAATTACACATCAGTAAAGCTGTTTAAAAAGTACTTTGGGTGTCTATCAATCCTGTTCTATTTGCTATAACTAGAAATTTCAAAACTCAGTATGGTGTCTATAATCTATACATATATTATTTGTATCATTGTCTTTGTCACATTATGTTTGTTTCTGTGCCATATTTTTCCTTATTTGATTAATAATGCTAACACCCTCCCGCCACCACCGTAAATAAAGCAGCCTTTTTTTGTTGATCCTGACAAGTTCAGTTTATGTGAATCCTTAGGTTACTTACTCTTAATCATGGCTCAAATAGAGGGTTGATGAAAAGAGGGTTTCCCTAGCCCTTCAGGGCTTTGAATATCTCCTTAGGTAACTTGGAATGATTTACCTTATTTATTCACATCTCTTAAGTTAACTTTCTTTGTAAATCTGGGTGATAGGTTCTTCGTAACTGCTAGCAGAAATTCAGATGTTAAATGAAGCAAAAAGTAAAGTTTTGACAGCTTTGAGCAAGCATAGTGGCAAAATTCAAAGTGGAAAAGACATGGAGAGTCTGATCTGCACAATTGAAAAAGTGGAAACTAACTTTAAAAAGCTAAAGTAAAAAGTTATAAAAAGAATGTGAAAATGAAAACCATTTCAGGTGTTTCAGTAATGGTTGACAGGTTAGGGTCGTGTACTTGCTTTGTGTTGCAAGGAGTTCAAAAACTAAACAAACAAACATGAGCATGCCTTCTTTGACTAAAAGCAAATGAGGGTCTTCAGGATATTTGCAAACACTGTTTGAAAGAACCACAGCTTTGTCAACACAACCCTAGGCATCAGCATCATCCAGAGCCTATAATTTTATTTGTTGTAAAGTTTATTGCTAATTGCATCCTCCTATTTTAAGAGCAATTTAGATTCTTCAAAGTACAGTCATCCCTTGGTATCTGTGGGAGATTGGTTCAGGATACCAAAATTCTCAAATCTCTTATATAAAATGGTGTAGTAGGAAGAAGGGGAGAGCCAGCGTCTAGTCTAGAAGACACCCTCATTGTAAAGACCTGAGTCAAGAAGTTGCTTAGAATCTTTTCTCAGCTTGTTACATTGCGAAATATTTCTTACATATTGAAGAGCATGTAAAAAAAAGTATATGTACAGGTTAAAGAATAACAATAAAGCAAATACCCTGGGGAAAAAATAAAATGGTGTAGTATTTGCATATAACTAGGCACATCTTCCTGTATACTTTGAACCATTTCTATATTTATAATATCTAATATGACATAAATGCAATGTAAATAGTTGTTATACTGTATTGTTTAGGGACTAATGACAAGAAAAAAAAGGTCTGTGCGTATTCAGTACAGATGCAACCATCTGTCCGTGTCCTTGAATCCACAGATGTGGAATGCACCAAAACAGAGAGCTGACTATATTAGAAGTGATTGTTTCATGCTCCAAAACAATCTAGTCATTCACTCTGCTCTTAAGGGGCACAGAAGAAATAAAGAAATAATATTGTATAATAAGTGCTATGATCATGTTCCGTATGCTGAGGGTGTTAAAGACATGATATCTGTGTGTCTAATCCAATCTCAAAATGGAGATGGGATCATTATGGAGAGTTACCTAAGGTGGTGTCATCACCAGGTCTTAAATAATAGGGAAGAAAGAAGAGTGTTCTAGACAAGAACCACAAGTGGAAAGACATGGTACTAAGACTATGTGTCTTCCTACCTACCTGTAGGGAGTGGACTATCATTGTTCTAAAGTTACTTGTCATTTTGCAAGATGAGAGTAGAAGGGGTCAAAGATAAGAGGATACAGAGAAAACAAATGGAAGGGATCCCCAGAAGCACTGGGAAAGTAGGTTAGCCTTTAACAGGAGGAGGGAAAACAAACTCATTTTCTGACACTAGAAGGAAAGTTATAAAGATGAGTGTGAGTGAAGATACCTTCGAGGGGAGCAGGGAGAGGTGACAGGAGGAGCCAGAAAATTGTAGATTGTGACTGATGACTTCACTGTTCTTATTTAAATGGGAGAGAGGTGGAAATAGACTTGACTTAATAGGGGCTTGAGAGACTGCCATATTCACAGTAGTGGCCATGAGGATGTGAAAAAAAACAGACCAAGGATAAAAAAAATTTTTTTTTAATCAGTGTATGGTACTCAGAGCCTAACCAAGACTGAAGACTTAATTTGTAATGATAACATTCTGGATATTTTTGTGGTTTTTCCTTAACATTTCTTATCAATCTCAATATAAAAATGAAGCAAACACATTTTAGCATTGATTTAGGGTTAGGATTTGCTGAGCTAAGATAAAATTATATGTACAAGAGGAATCCGAAAGGTGCTCATGCATATTTCAAATGATCAATAATGAAAGCTTGTAGGGACTGAGGAAGAAATAAGAAACTAGAAGGGAGTCAATAAGCTGGAATAATAACGAGAGAAGGGTCTAGAGTCTCTGAGGTTGGAGGGCTTGTAGGGTGGAAGTGAGGTCCTGCAGGAACTGGGTGGAAAGAAAAAATGTGGCCAGAAAGTGGGATAAATGGATGTAAGATTTCTGGGAGAGAAATTTCTAAGCCAGTTCCAGGATGTGACTGAGAGAGTTAATGACTGAAATACAGTGGTGAAGAGGTCAGTACCCTTGCAATTTAAAAGAGATCAGGAATTTCAAAACTGGGTTATTACGTGTGTACAAGAAGCAATTAACCTGGTATGGGAGAAGGCATATACTACTTAGGCATTCGGCTGAGTCTGTGGATCCCTTCTCAGAATATTGGGGGTTTTTGATGTGTAGGATAAAATGTATAGAATTACAAGAAAAGGAATTGTTATTGATACAGTTATCAAAATAGTAAATAAAAATTTGTGGTGACTTGTGCTTCTTTATTGTATAAATAGCACATTGAAATACTAATGAGCATAAGAGGTATTTTAAGATATTTGTAACAATTATGATGTCACAAGAAAGTATCTGTCTTATATTGATGAAAAGTCAGTAGTACAGTGAATACTGCTGTTTGTTGCCCATATTCATAATTGAAGAAAGTGCAAAATTTAACTTAGAGATTAGCAAAAATTAAGGCGTAAACTTCCTTCCTCATTTAAGTTCAGAGACCCTCTGAATTTTCTAATTATCCTCTGGTTAAGAAACCCTGGTTTAAAGGATGGTATATCCATGGGCCGGCCTGTGGCTCACTCGGGAGAGTGTGGTGCTGATAACACCAAGGCTACGGGTTCGGATCCCATATAGGGATGGCCGGTTAGCTCACTGGGTGAGCATGGTGCTGACAACACCAAGTCAAGGGTTAAGATCCCCTTACCGTTCATCTTTTTTAAAAAAAAATAAAAATAAAAAAATAAAGGATGGTATATCCAGAAGGCATAAACCTGAATAGAAAGAAGTGGTTTTTGCATGAGGGAGAGAAATCGTAGTCCAGAAATGGCAGTGTAGAGCTAGGAAAATATTTCGACACCTCCGGGTCCTGTGGTGATTATGGGGGTGAGTGGGCTGGAGATGGTGGGGCTATGTCTCAGGGAGCAGACTTGGCTCAGGAAAGCTGCTGAAGTGGTGTGGGGTGAGTGGGGCAGTGTCCTTTGTGATAAAAAACCATATTTTATTTTGTTTTATTTTATTTTATTTTATTTATTTATTTTGTGACCGGTAATGGGGATTGCAACCCTTGGCTTGGTGTCGCCCGCACCGCGCTCAGCCAGTGAGCGCACCGGCCATCCCTATATAGGATCCAAACCCGTGGTGGGAGCGCCACCGCGCTCCCTAGCGCTGCACTCTCCCGAGTGCACCACGGGCCGGCCCCATATTTTAAATCAAACCAAAAAGTGGAAAGAAAGGAAGCTGTTGCTCGGGCAGAAATAATGTTTATGAGAGCTAGAGAGTTGTAGTGAAAATTCTTAGGAAGATAAGGAACAGTGAACAGATGAAAAGGAGAGAGAAGGAACAGGGTAGTAATGAAGGTGTTAGGGGTTGGTCGGAGCGAGATGAACCCGCCTCAAGGTCTTGGGCAAAGACTGAGGCCCAGGATGTTTGGAAGCCTGTTGAGCTGGGCCTCCTGGAACCATCAGAGTAGCAGCCCATAGCCCTTGCTCAGGTTTCTAGGTAGAAATCCTGCTGAGAAATTGTTGTATATCCCTGAAGATATTTTACCCAATTTTAAATATTATGGTTATGGTGGAAAAACTTTGGGGTCATGTTTTTACTCTTTTTTCCTCTCTCCGTGCTATACAGCTCAAGATTAAAAAAAAAAAAACAAAAAAACCTGAAATCAAGTGAGACACTTAAGAGCAAAATGTAAAACAGTGTTAGGGGTGGATGGGAGGATTGGTGTCTTATAGTAAGTAAATCATCAAATGTTGTTCTTCCTCCTTTGTTTTTATTGCTGGTGCTGAACACACAAAACCATATGAGAGTTGGTGAATAAAAATAAACGTTAAGAGTTATATTTTTAAAGATCATACTTGCCAGTCCACCCCAAAGGAGAATTTGGGAGTATCTGCCAGAGTAAGGAAAATAACAAGATGAAACTAAGTATCAAATTATGTGGGGGTGGGGGGTTGATATAACCAGACAAACTTTCAATTTATGTAACTTAATTATCAATCACTTGGGGCCGGCCCGGTGGCGCACTGGATAGTGCGTCGCTTGGGAAGCGCGGCGGCGCTCCCGCCCGAGGGTTCGGATCCCACATACGGACCGGTTCCCGCTCACTGGCTGAGCGAGGCGCGGGGGCAACACCGAGGGTTGCAATCCCGTTGCCGGTACCCAGTCCGGTACGGGGGCAACACTGAGGGTTGCGATCCGTTGCCGGACACGGAAAAAGACAAAAGACAAAAAAAAATTATCAATCACTTGAATTAGAAAAACTTTGCCATTCTGATTGTGAAATATAATAAATTTAAAATAGATACACATTTACCTTAATGTGCATTTTATTTCTTTAAACTTAATGATAAATGTGTTTGTGTTCGTGTGTTTTGTTTTTGGTTTTGTTTTTGTTTAGGAATTAGCTCTCCGTAGCCAGTTACCAACACTGGAGCAGGATGGTGGGACTCAAAATCCAGTGTCTTCTCCCGGGATGTCTCAGGAATTGAGAACAATGACAACCAATAGCTCAGATCCCTTTCTTAACAGGTTGGTAAGAGTTACTACTGGCCATTATCTGAAAAAGATCATAGCTTTAAGGTCATTCTGCTTTCATGCTTGTGATAGGCTGTTTTGAACATGTGTGTGGGCCAAAATCCATAGCTGTAAATGAATCTCTGCACAAATGGCCAGTACAACAAAAGTTGCAGATTAAAAGCCGTCTCCTATGAGAGGAAGTGAGCTGTTCAGACTTGTAGAGGGAGTACTTACTCAAAGTCACAGCGTGTTTGCTTCTGCCTATACCGTTGACTAACAGTTGCTTAAAATTACAGACTCATGAAAGAACATGTGAATGCCTTTTTATGTGAAAGCAAATGAACTGCATCTTAATCCTACATAGGATTGCATTGGAAGGAATTTTCCACATAGCTGTTCAATCAGAGAGGTTTTACCCAGCAGCACTATAAGGCCTCATGTTCTTAAGGGCTATAGTTCAAGGAAATAAAATGTAAGGTTGTGCCTCTTTCAAAATATGCATTAAGATTAATCGCAGTATTTGAAAATAATATCGCTTAAGGTAAGGGTGCTTCTTTGTGAGCTACCACAAATCTTGGGTTTCAAGCAGATTGCAATATTATGTAAACTGCTATGTTTGAAAACTGCAAGCTGAAACAGGTCCTATTCTTTGCCTAGAAAGCTATTTGAAATTAAGATTCAACTAAAATTCATTCTTCTAGATTATAAAATATCTATGGAGTTTAAATTTTTTTTAAATATGGGGATACTTTGTGCTTTTGATCATTTTTCTAACCAATTTTAAATAACACACTTTTAACAATATTTAAAGGTATTTTCGTTTAGGAAAGCTATTATACCACTCCTTCAGTTCTCACCAATTGAATTGAAAACTTTAAGGAAAAACAAGATATCTTATCCTAAAAATATTTAGTACAGTAGAATTTCCCATCATTTGCTCTTAAGATTAGTGCTGGTAGCCTAGTTGGGAGGTTTGATTTTGAAGGTCATCTAAAATGTAGTTTAAGTTTGTATTTACTCTTCTGACACACACAGTTTAAAGTTCTGTCTAAAACTGAGAGTATTTATACAAGATTATAGTTCTGAATTTAAACTGAGACTAATTAGGAAAGGTCATAGCCACAGAACTTTTTTTTTTTCCTCTACAAGGAAAATTTCAGATCAATATAATTTCAGTACCTATCCCATTGAAGGCCTGTATTAATCCAGGGATAAAATTGATAGGCTTCATATCCTTCTGACAGTCATTTATGAAGATGCTTTCTTAAAACTTTTGATGAGAACTGGGCTACAGTTTGAGGTCCTATTTTCTGGTAAGATCACAGAGTGGCAGATAATCAATGTTATTAGTCTAAGGGCAGAATCATGTTTGTTCTCTGTCATACCCCAGTTTCTAAAGCATACATCTGACTATGACACTTAAAAAAAAAAAAAAAAAAAAAAAAAAAACTATTGCTTACCTTTTGATTTATACACATTCCTCAAGCTCTGAACACTTTTTCCCCTAATTTGCCATGAAGCTGACTCTTCCTAGTATTACAAAATCCTCTTACCTTCCTTTCAGTCTGAGATTATTCAATACCACCTCAGGTGTTTCTCTCCATGAAACCTTTCCCCTGCACTGTTCAAGCTCCCTCTTCTTTGTTCTGAAAGCAGTCTGTGCACACAGCTCATGTAGCCCTTGTATATGATTCATTACTATATTTTTTCTTTTCCTTCCTCAAAGTGGCAAGCCTCTCAAAAGTATCACTTGTAGGTGGTAGGGGTTGGAGGGGGGGGGTTGTTAACCTCTGTATCCTCAGACTCTAGTCTAATTCCTATCATATAGTAGCAGATGCTCACTGAATGTTTATTGAATCAGTAGGTGCTGCAGGAGGTGGAGTTCTGCAGGAAAAAGGCCCAGGAACATCCAATGTGCTTCCCCTGTGGTTTGGAATGAACTCTATACAACTCTGTAAATTCAGCTATTCTGTAACGAACTCCAGTGTCTGATGTGTGCTCAATGCTTAGCAGTGGGAATACTGATAAATAGGGTCAGGCCCTTGTCCCAGATCAGGGCAGGCAAAATATAAACAAACCACATCCTTCTCATACATGGCTACATTGTATACTAATGGTCTCAGAGGCAAATTTGTGTTTTCTTGGATCTATGTGAGGCTTTTTTTTTTTTTTTTTACTGACCGGTAACGGGATCACAACCCTCGGTGTCGCGCCCGTACCGGGGACCGGCAACGGGATCGCAACCCTCGATGTTGCGGCCGCACCGCGCTCAGCCAGTGAGTGGGAACCGGTCTCCACTTGGGATCCGAACCCTCGGCGGGAGCGCCACCACACTCCCAACCGGCGCACTTCTCCAGTGCGCCACCGGGCCGGCCCTATGTGAGGCTTTTTAATCTTGCCAAAACCTGGCAGAAGCTTGGAATAAAACGGTGGTTGCAATATACAGAGTGAGAGGGAAAGGACAAGGCAAAAGAATTGAGTAATTAAGGGAAGAAATTTGGGTTACCGAGCTATTAATCTTGAGCAGTTGTTAAAGCTTGTTTTTAAAGCTTAGTTGTTTTTTGTTTTTTAACATTTGAGTTAAACAGCTGCTTAGATGTCTAAGCTGTGAGGAAAGTTAAATTTCACATTCATATTCACATACCATTGAGAATAACAGTTGCCTTGATTTTACACTTTTCCATAAGATTTTCTAGAATTAAGAGAACTCAAACTTTTACAGTCAGTGCCAGCTGATGTCTATTTGCTACTACCTTAGTAAAGTGTTCTATTTATGAAAATAATGATCTGAGGATATTTCCCATACCTGAATATAAATCTGGTTTATATTTCTTTTAGCATAAAGTAAAAATCTGTCTTGACTCACGTTTTTCTCTCAAGGGATGTACCTTGTAGGGGTTTTTTTGTTTTTGTTTTTTTTTTTAATCTTTCCTTCAACTGGAGCTATAAGGCCTCCTGTCTTTTGCTGAGGTGTTTGGGTTTTTTTCCCCCCTAAACAGAAGCAAGGAGATCAAGCTACCTACGGGAATTCTTATCTTATCGGCAGTGACTTATCTATTTTGGCCCAGTCCAAAAAGGAATTCTGGTTATTTATGTTGGGTTGATTTTTCCTTGGCTTACGTTCTCTACATGAGAGCTAGGAATTTAACATGAGTCTAGTACAGACCTGCATTACCGCCCACCTAGAGTTTGTGTTTTGACCTCTCTACATGTGCTACCACCACTTGGGGAATTGAGACCTTGGAACAAGTGAGCTATGTGGATCCCCCCTAGATTCAAATGGTATTGTGGAGAATTTTCTGTCAGCTAGGAAAACTAACTGGGTCTTTTTTCCTTACTGCCACCAAGCACAGAACCTTAGGAGAGATGTTGGCCCCTTAGAGCTGCCAGCTTCAATTAGGATTAACTTGTCTATTTCACTTCATAGCACAAGGGCTGCGTATGGCCTTGAAGGAGGGTGCTTGTTTCAGACGTTGCAGAGCTGGAATTTTCACTAATCCTCTTTGAGAATCATGTTAGTACTCAGCAGTTATTTCTTTTTTGCCTTGAATTGATTTTTTAATTTTTGTGTTTGTCTTTAACTGTCATTTTTTGTAGTGGCACCTACCATTCTCGAGATGAGAGTACAGACAGTGGACTAAGCATGAGCAGCTACAGTGTCCCTCGAACCCCAGATGACTTCCTGAACAGCGTTGATGAGATGGATACAGGTTGGTATTCCTTATTCCTCTTAGCAACCTATCTCGCAATCAGATATAGTCATATTATCACCAGGTTTAGTAAGCCATTGTGAGCAAAGATTATTCAGAACAAAATCAATTATAATTCTGTAAACTTCAATTCAGATTGAGCCTGCTTTGTTTCTACATGATGTCAGTAATTTAATTCTATTCCTGGTTTTTAAATATCATGGATTGGATATCTTTCATGGATTGGATATCTTAGCTCTCTGAATAAAACCGATATGATTGATTTTAGCATGTTAGAAAGAGATTTCTCTGTGTGATTCATTGTCTGCCTATGAGGGGTTTTGGTCCAACTTAGGTGTTATGAGGCCCAGGAAAGCTGAGAAAGGCTAGGTGGTGGGGCCCACCTACTTCATTGTTAGAATGATCGGAGAGGTCTTGCAAGAACTAAGGAAAACCTGACTCATAGGGGGTAATTAAGGAACCATTTATCCTGTGGCTTACTTGGTGACCATTTTCCTTTAGTTGACAACTGTTAGAGTACATGAATTGGCAGGAAAATGGAGCATTTGTCTAGCTAACTAGCTCTTTAGCTGACTGCTTCTCTTCTGAAAGCATTTGGTAAGTCTTTTGTGCCTGCGCTCATCCACCTCATGGCTTTGATGCTTCCTGGAATCTACACCACCCCTTCCTCTCTGCTTATCTAGATTTTAAATTATCCTTGGGAGCCACTTCATATCCATCTCATGCATAACACCTTTCCTTACATCTGTAATCTATTTCTCTCTTCTCTAAACCCCTATACACTTCATGGTTTATATTAGTTTTTCTGAAAACATGATCTATTGAAGCTCTGAGGAATGTTAATGTTATACACAAAAAAGATTCTATGGCTACATAAGTTTGGGAAACATAGAAACAAGGTGTATTAGTCCGTTTCTATTGCTTATAACAAAATACTTGCATCTGGGTGATTTATAAGAAGACAAAATTTATTGCTTACAGTTTCAGCGGCTGGAAGTCCAAAGTCCAAGGAACACATCTGGTGAAGGCTTTCTTTGGTGGTGACTTCTGTGACGGCAGGGTATCACATTGCGAAAACAACGGAGCAGAGAGTCTAAACTCCTCTTCACACTTTTTCTAACGCCCTCAGAGCCATGTCCCTGACCACCATTATCAATCTATTCACTACTGCAAGGTCATAGAATCTAATCACCTCTTCAAGGCTCCACCTTTCAATTACCATAATAGGATTTCCCACCCTCAGCAGTTACAGTGGGGATTAAGCCTCACTGAGGTTGGAGCGGGTGCATCCAATCTATGGTACAAGGCTAGGAAGATTTACTTATTTAAGGACTTCTGGAAGGCTTGTTTTGCTATTATGAGTGTGAATCTCCAAGAGCAGAATAGAGTATTCATGCCATCCTTTTGTTTCATATTAGTGTTCCCCAAAGTGTATGTAAGGGAAAGGTAGTCTATACCATTCATTTTATGTTTAATGTTATAATGGTGGTGCATATCTGGAAGACAGAGTAATGATGCTGTTGTAAAGTGTACTTGTTCTTTCTCCACCTGCTGCATGTAATGCTTTAAGGGATTTTTTTTTTTTAATGACCCCCTTCAGTGCTCAGCACATAGTAAGAAGCAGTCAAGTTGTTGGTTGAATATCTGAACAAATGTTGATGCAAAGGTAAACTTGCCATTGTCATTTTGTTATCTGTGGGTTGTTTGGCCTAAAATAAACACGGCATCAGTTCAGGTCAGTCAGGAGTGCTTTTCTTTATGCACTTCTGTATGCTCATATGATACAGCTCTGATGTTAGCTTTTCAAAAAGGACCTTATTATCTCTCTCTTCTCTGTTCCAACTAGGTGATACTATCAACCAAAGTACCCTGCCCTCACAGCAGAACCGCTTCCCAGACTACCTAGAAGCCATTCCTGGGACAAATGTGGACCTTGGAACACTGGAAGGAGATGGAATGAACATAGAAGGAGAGGAGTTGATGCCAAGCCTGCAGGAAGCTTTGAGTTCTGACATCCTTAATGACATGGAGTCTGTTTTGGCTGCCACCAAGCTAGATAAAGAAAGCTTTCTTACATGGTTATAGAGCCCTCAGGTAGACTGAATTCTAAATCTGTGAAGGATCTAAGGAGATAAGACATACATACCTGAAATTTCCAAATAAGCCAGTTGCAATTTTCTGGCTAAAACAGAAAAAGATGAACAAACGTCCAGCAAGATTCTTTCATCCACTATTTTGCTCTTCCTTGTCCATTGCTGCTGTTAATATATTGCTGACTTCTTTCACAGTTGGCTCTAAAGAATCAAAAACAAACAAACAAAAAAACCTTTTTTGTTTCTTTTGCTATTGTAACTACTGTTCATTTTGGGGGCTGGGGGAAGTGAGCCTGTTTGGATGATGGATGCCATTCCTTTTGCCCAGTTAGATGTTCAACAGTCGTTGTAACTAAATACTCAGACTTGGAAGTCAAATGCTTCATGTCACAGCATTTAGTTTGTTCAAGCAATTGTTTCTTCAGCTGCCTTTGGCAAGTGGAAAAACATGACTTACTGGTCTGACAAGCCAAAAATGTTGTATCTGATATTAAGTACTTAATCCCGATTCGAAGAGATAGCTAAAACCAAGGCTGAAGACTGTTTTACTTTCAGTGTTTTTTTTTTTTTTCCCCTCCTAGTGCTATCATTAGTCACATAGTGACCTTGATTTTGTTTTAGGAGCTTATAAGGCATGAGACAATTTCCATAGAAATATATTAATTATTGCCACATACTCTAGTGTAGGTTTTGGTGGATATTTTTGTGGGTGTTTTTTTTCCCCCCTTTTTTCGGTTGGTTGGTTGGTTGGTTTTGTCGGACCCTAGGCAAATTATCATATTAGTGAATCTGTTTATAGTTGTAGCTTGGGACAATTATTATAGTTTTTTTGGTAAAATCTATATTTCTTGTTTTTTTACCATTTTATTTAAATCTTGATTATCTGCTCTCTCTATATATATATATACACACACACTTACAATGTTTTTAATAGTGTGATAGTGGAATGTATCTTTTTTTTTATGGTTTCCATACTTTCCAATTTATTTTTAAAATGGTAGCTTTGAATGTATGCATTTAAAATACACAACTAGTAGTTTATATTTCACAGGTAGTTTAAATCTGGTTGGGGCAATCTGCAGATGTTTGGGGTAGATTAATGTTCTAGAAAGGGCTATTACTATGGATAGTGCTTAGAGGAGTACTTTCTGCCTTCTGGGCACACAATAAATATTATCTGATGAATTGGAAAGGAGCAAAAAAGAAATGGCTTTATTTCCCTCTTGGACTCCCTTGGACTAATTTTGAGTTTTGATGGGAAATTACTTAGTTGGTTCAAAATGTACATGACAGAAGTAAGCTTTATAGTGGTTTACCTTCCTTTAGCTTTGGGAGTTTACTTTCACCTTAGTTTTGGAAGTAAATTCTAGTACGTCAGTTCCCATTTGTAATGAACACATTAGATACTAAATTGAAATATTGCCTACAAGATTGTTTCAACTTATAAGACATGCTCCTATATCTGTATGCTGAAAATTGACCCTGGATAGTATGTAGAATACTGTAAGGTCATGAGTTAGCTGGTAAATTGATCAGATTAATAAATGTATATTGGTAGCTGAATTTAGCAAAGAAATAGAGATAATCATGATTATACCTTTATTTTTACAGGAAGAGATATAACTAGAGTATGTGTCTACAGGAATGATAATGGTTTCCAAAGAGTATTTTTTAAAGGAACAAAATGAGCATGAATTAACTCTTCAATATAAGCTATGAAGTAATGAGTTGGTTGTGAATTATAGTGGCACCAGCTAAGCACTTCTGTGATTTAAGGGTCTTTCAATGTTTCTAGAATAAGCCCTTATTTTCAAGGGTTTATAACAGACATAAAATCTCTTTTCCTGGCTAAAGCTGCTATGAAAAGCCTCAGTTTGGGAAGATAGATTTTTTTTTTTCTTCTTTCATTTACAAAATCTAAGTATTTTGGCCCTTTGATTTGGAGGAGTGCAAAGTTGGAAGTAGGAAGTTTTATTTTAAGTACTTTCAGTGCTCAAAAAAATGCAATCACTGTGTTGTATATAATGATTCATAGGTCGATCATTTGTAATAATTTACTCTAAGGCTTTTATTAAGAATACAGCAGAAAGATTAAATCTTGAATTAAGTCTGGGGGGAAATAGCCACTGTGCAGATGCATTGAGTTTTAGAGTAATAATGAAATTCTACTTAGAATGCAAAATTGAGTATGTGGATGATAAAGCATGTTTCTTTTTTCTTTTTTTTTTAACGTGCAGAAGATCAAAGCTACTTGGAAGGAGTGCCTACAATTTGCCAGTAAGCCACAAATTAAGATTGCATCTTATATATCAGCAGAGTAGCTTTAGCTTACAGGGAGGGTGGGAAAGTGGGGAGGGGTTGTGAAGATTTAGTGGGACCTTGATAGAGAACTGTACAAACTTATTTCTCTTCAATAAAGACTCGTATTGCATCTTACTGCCAATAAAGGCAGTTGTTCCTAAAATTTCAATCACTTAAGTACACCCACCAAACAAGAATATGGAGATCTTCGTTTCCCCTCGATTTTAACTTGCCCAGTTATACCTCAGTGTTGTGGCAGCACTGTGGTACCTGACACAGTGCTTTGATGTTATCACACCCTCTATATTGACCTGAAGGAGACCTGAGAGTCCTTTCTCTTTTTGAGTTTGAATCATAGCCTCAATGTGGTCTTTCTTGTTTTATGTTCTTGTTCCTAATATAAAAGTGTTTAACTACTTCTTGGTTGTATTGGGTAGCATTGGGATAAGATTTTAACTGGGTATTCTTGAATTGCTTTTACAATAAACCAATTTTATAATCTTTAAATTTATCAGCTCTTTACATTTGTGTTCTTTTCAGTTAGGGCTTGTTAGATCTACTTATGGTTGGGAGCACATTGTTTTAGAGTTTCAGTTCTTCCAAAGCACTGTTTGTATTAACTATTTTCTAAATATAGTGCCTTTTTTAAAAAAAGAAAAACATAAGGAAGTGACTATGATACAAATAATGTTGCTGTTTTAGGTATTCATATTAAATAGATGCATTCTATATGGAACATGGCAGAAAGACTGAAAAATAACAGTAATTAATTGTGTAGTTCAGAATTTATACCAATCAGTGTTGAAACTCAAACAGTGCAAAAGTGGGAAGCAGTCTTCAGTGATTAACAATTTCATAGCTTTTATACATCTGAGAAATGAGTGCTCAGATTAATTTTATCTTTGCAAGCATGTTTTTATAAGAATTGTGGGTGTGCGTATCTTAACAATTGTTTTCTGTATCTTGAAAAAGTATTCTCCACGTTTTAAATGTTTTATACTAGAGAATTCTTTAATGCACACTTGTCAAATATATATATAGTATCAATGTTACCTTTTTGTTCTTTGTTTTTTGTTTTAGATTAAGAGCATGCTCATATATTAGGTACTTATATAAATTGTTACATTATTTTTTCTTATGTAATACCTTTCTGTTTGTTTATGTGGTTCAAATATATTCTTTCCTTAAACTCTTCTTTGTTGTTTTTAACAATTGATAGTGCTTAAAACTTCTTTTGGCTTCTTCATGGTCTTCCTATAGAACAAGTACTGGAAATAAAAGGTGATTACAGTAGTAACTGGTAGACACATTAAACTTAAGGTTCATTTTGCTTCTTAAAGTTACACATGACATCTGGAACCTTTGAGTTATGGATATAATTATTTGAACTTTATGTTCTGTAGTCTTCATATACACCATCCCCATCAGTGATAGTGCCTAAGGGTAATTGTGTCTCCTTTATTCTTAAATGACATTACTATGTGTAACAGCACAGAAGAAACTAAGAAGAACGTGGTACTGTCTTTCAAAAGGGCCTTTGGTTTTTATCTCCAAAGTATTCTCTCATGGTCTTCAAATTAGAACACTTATATTAGTGGAAAATGTTACTTATTGTTTTAGTAAATAAAAACATTTGCAGATTTGAGTGGTAGGTCCTGAACTCTGAATAAGAAGTAGATTTGATTGTCTTTGAAAATTATTTATTTCTGTGTTTGTGTGTGTGTATAATATCTTCAGTTATTGATACATATCAGTTTTGGTGAGGCAAATCTGAAAGCTTTTTATGGTTTACTATGTATAATTTCTTCACATTAGTAGAACACTAATTTTGTGGAGCTTGAAGTTGATTGTTTCCTTTATATAGTGTAAAATATAATGGTCATACTTCTTAGCTCAAAACCATACCTTGTGTCTGTAGACATTGTTCCTCTTACTGAGGAGTTGCTCCAAGGGGTGGTGCACTTTATGTTGGATGACTTGAAGCCCAGTGATGTGAATCCACCTTCATTCTGGATCCTGTGAACCAGAATTATACAGCTTATACTTAACACAATCTGATTTAACAATATTTGTTTTGTTTTGTTTTTTTAAAGATGACCAGTAAGGGGATCTTAACCCTTGACTTGGTGCTGTCAGCACCACGCTCAGCCAGTGAGCAAACCGGCAATCCCTATATGGGATCCGAACCCGGGGCCTTGGTGTTATCAACACCACACTCTCCCGAGTGAGCCACGGGCCGGCCCTGATCTAACAATATTTGGAAGAATATATTTGATTTGGGAAGAATAGCCTCTAGTGAGAACAAAGAGGAGCATTCCAAATATTTGTGAAGTATAATAGTCTTTTAGAACCTGACATTGAGTAATTTACATATTTTTCTTAGACCCAAAATTAAAGTTCAGTAGCTCAGTAAATGAATTGCCCAGCCGGAATAAACAGGAAAATAGTCTTCTAGAGAGAGAAATAAAGAACAATAAATAATAATAATAGAAAACCTGGGTGTTTATTACAGGAGTTATCAGTAGTCTGGTGGGTTACATTTAATTCCCCCAATTTCCATTTCTTGACAGTTAAGGTTGCAAAAGAAGAGCAACCCCAAGGACCCAGTCACATTTTCTTAGCTTCTCTAACAGCAACCAGACCTTTTCTGGTCCTAGCAACCATTAATTGTACTGAAAGCCTGGCTTTAAATTCATGTGCTCTCCTTTGGCTCCAGGGTTCTGTATTCACTAATGCTGTTGGAATCAGTGGTGGTTCTGACAGGGTGTCTGCCATGTCGTTTCTATCCCACTTAAAACTGTTGGCATTTAGTCTCTTTATTTCAGTCATGAGAAACTTGTGATAAAGTCTTTTCTGATTTAAAGTTTAATTATTGAATTAAAAATCAGATGAGAAATCTGTGACTTTTAGTACTACCTTTTTTTCCACATCACAAGTAGAATACGTTTTGCTCTATTGTCTAAATACAGAAAGCTCTGATACGAGTAAAATTGATAATTTCTTAACCATAAACATAGCCTTAGACTGGCAGACTTAATATTGTCACACATTAAAAACAGTTGCGGAATCAAGACGTTAGCAGAACAAGATGATATTGAAAAGATACTCTGAATTTTAAAATCTGCCATATTTTAACAGGAAACAAAACTCCCAAACTAAGTGACCTGACTTCTAGGCTGCTATGATCCTATCAGAAGTTTAAAAAAAAGAAGAAGAAGCATCAGTGTTATTCAAAACGCTATTTGGAAAACTTCAAGCAAAGAGTCTACCAATGTAAAATTCCTAAACAACTGCTCTGGTACATGAAACTTTTTTGTTTTTGTTTTTGTTTTTTAAGTGAAACTTAAAAGCTAGAGTTACTGTAACTTTGTGAAATTGGTATTGGTTTGCTTGCACTCACGTGAGTAGACAGGACTTAATTCTTAGTAAAAGGAACCAACAGAGTGATGTAGCCATTGGGAAACCTGGCTGAAGATCATTTTTCCTCCTTCAGGGAACCTTGTAACAACTTGTATTTAAGCACTTCTTTCTACTGATTAAGAGAGAAACTCATCTGCTGCCAGAGTTCAAGAGAGGCATCTAATGGGGGGGTCACCAGCATCTAAATGATGCTCAGATGATCACAACTATATGATGAGACTCTGATCACTGGAGTGACTATGAATTTAAGACCTTACATTTTATGAGAGATAAAAAGACTCATGTTTAGGAACAGCCAGACCACTAGGGTAACTAGAAGTCACACAGCAAGAACTACATGTGTGTTATCTTCTGAAAGGAGGGCATTTGCCTGATGTGCTTCCTCTCAGAGGACCAATAAATCTTTTGAGCCCGTTAAAATAATCTCACTGGGACTGCCCATAGGAGATTGTGAACTTGAGATTTAGTTGT